GGCATTCTTTTAGTATGGATGCTATGATAATCATCAATATTTAAAATCATAGCATTATTCGCATTTTCTGAAAGCCTCGATTCCACAGTCATTGGATGTTTTTTAGACACAGCATCCTTATGATAAGAAATAGTGCGAGATGTCGTTGATAAACCTAGTGTTGCTAGAATATCGATTGTTGAATTAGGTGTTCCAGTTGAATCTAAATACATCCCAAGATCTCTCTTTGCATTGTTAACGAATTTATTTCTGATGCCATAAAGATAATAATATAAAAATACTAATTGCTTTGATACTTTTTTCATCGTATCCTTGTTCTTTATCGACGGATTGGTTGATATGTATAGTTCATTAAAAAAATGTTTCAATCGCCTGTCTTCTAATTCCATAAGCGCACTAAATTCTTCGAATTCCCAAATTGGTGGTAATAATTTACATTCCCTTTCATAGAGAATTTTTGTAATTATCTCTACAGCTTGCGAAAAAGACAAAATATCATTGTTAGAAGTTTCTAGCTCATTATGATATCGTTCTAATGCATATTGTTTAAATTTAAAAGATTTGTTAATAACAATTGCATTATAACAATTCAAGCATATAACATCATTTTCTTTAACATATTCAGGAAGCGTTTCACTGGCCTTTTCACGAGATATCATCATTTCAGTAACGGTTCGCCATGTTACTGATATTTTTTTGCAAATTTTCATAACGCACGGTCCTTCGAATTTCTTTGTTCTAACTATAATTTTATTACTAAGTAAACACTCCTTAAATTAGAGATTATTAGAGATTAATTTTGAAAATAATGTTTTAACGCTCTAATGAAGCTATTTGTAAAAAAAAAAAAATTTTAATTATATGAAACCTTATTTTCCAAAAAGTACTTTAAACTGTATAAATTCAATTGAAATCAATCGTCCAATCACGTGAACTTCTTCTTATGAACCAGAAGCTAAGACTTTAAAGGTGAATTAGATTGATGAATATTAGGATTCTTTCTAAATAGATATGAAAAAAAAGATTAAGACTTAATATCTTTCAACTAGATAATTTTTTGAAATTTATTTTTTATGCAATAATCGTTTAGTAAAATATATAACTTGCAGCAGAACATAATAAACAAATCTGTATAAAAATAAATCTAATATTATCGAAGAAAACAAAACAATTGTCATCTTTTTCCTAATTTACCTGATACACATAATTCTTGAAAAAGAAGAGATCCTCAAATCATACATTCTTTTCTTACTTTGCCTCATGAAGTTCCTCAAATAAAGATCTTTAAAACACTTATAACAAATAATTTTTTTAGCATGATCTACTCTTCCATTTTAGGAAGATAAATATCTATGATTTTCTATTTAATTCTTCCAGTAGTTTTCTTCCTATTATTCCTAACTAATCTATTATTTTAGTATTTAAGATCTAGTAGGCTCTTTATTATAGGAGGACTTTCACATGATGGTTGATTATATTACACAAATTTTGCAATTGATATTATAAATATTTATACATATTACATGATACATATAATAACTATTATGTTATATTTAAGCTATTTAATATTATATATTAAATCAAAAATACTAAAAATAAAAAGAATAGTTTAATTTATTAATTTTGTATAAAAAAAAAGAAAATTGTAAAATATTTTTATTGCTGTTGAAATTTTTGTAATGCCTCTTTTAATGCATTTGTTACATATTTTACTGATTCTCTTTTATTATCATTGTCACAAAGAATATTATTTTCTGATTCGATAACCTGTTCTTTTTATTTTTTATCTAAACTTTGCAAAGATTGCAGTAAGGATTGAACATTTTCGTCAATACCATTGCATAAAAATGAAAGATAATACAAATATTTAAACCATTATTGCTGTAACAGAATCTATGATACGTATAGCCACAAGCTAAAACTTCAATAAGATTGTATGTATTAATAAATGAAAAATCAAACAATTAGATTCATCATAGTAACGAAGTTGACATGATTTGTGTGCGACATTAAAATCTAAAGAAAGATGACATAATTATGCTTTTGGCATTTTTATTGCAGCTAAGATGATATTACCACCCTTCTTTGAGGCTGAATTTATCTGTAATGGAAATGATATTAATGAATTATGATAAAAAAAACACGTATAAATTTCTGAAAAACATTGTAATAGAAAAAAATGCTTTTTTTTGTTAAAGCTATTCTATCCTATACAGAATATTCATATATTGTCTATGTAGATATATGTGTAAAATTTTCTCTAAATTCATTGTCATCTAAACATAACTAATTAATGAGACGTTCATATTTAATGATCTGTTATGCCTCTATATGTTTCTGTGTACTCTTACGTAAAAAACTGTGAAATATTTCTATAGTTGAATCTAAGAACTTTGAAAGTTCAGCTTTAATAATTTCTAGAATTGGATGATTGTTTAACTCCCAATAGAAAATATCAGAAAGAAACATCAATGATACCTTAATATAATTTTTACGACAAAATCTAAGAAATAATATCTAAACATAAAAATAAGCTTCTAAGTAAGCATTAAAATCGCCTGATTAGAAAAACACAGTAAATATCCAGTACAAGTGAAATCATATTGTCAAGAAGATCTTTGAGTGCAAGATATTTAACATTCTTACACAAAGATCCAAATTTTGTTTTGACGGTCATAAAAATTTCTTGTCAAATATTGTGAGAAATCTCTAAAAGAAGATTAATATGCTATGGCTTGAACTTTTGTGCAAGTGTCTTATATTTTCCAAAAGTATATGTGTATATGGCTAAGAAAAAAGGTTGATGTTGAAGAAAAACCAATTTTCGGCTATTTAATGAAATATGTAAAGGACTTATAATAGAAAGAAAAGATAAAATATCGTTAATAATATTTGATAACATAAGTAACATGAAATAGCTGTTTTAAGATATATCTGTCCAGGCCAATCAGTGACAATGGAGATAATATTTCCTTGTTAAATATACCACTGCATAGATAGAATTTTCACAACAATGTTAATAGCTCTAATATATGCATCTATAGAATGAAGATCATTTTTCTGTAAATCTATAAAATAATATTCTTTATTGAACGAACATTTTGTTTTTCCTTTATTCTAATATCATAACTATGTACAATTAGCTCCTCCAGTCTTGTATCATCGTCAACTATATGAAATCTCCAACGCCAATTATGTGAAAGATCACAAAGACTCATAAACTTATTTTCCATATTAATTTTAATCAAATCAGCATCAACTAATACGAGATTATGTATATTTATCTTTGGAATTGCATATTGTGTCATAATTGGATTCACCAGAATTGTTGCCAAATGAACAGCAGTTGATGTGGTAGTTGTATTCAGCATTCGTTTTCATATGAATGCTATAGTAATTGTTAATATTTAACACTATTGCATTTTCTAAACATTCAGCAAGTGCTGAATTAACAGTCTTAGCATGTTCTTCAGATATTGTTATCTTATATTGAGAAATTGTGCAAGAAGTTGTAATCATACCTAAATTAACAAGGGTATTTATAGAAGCTTCAGAAGCACCCGTAAAATCTAAATATATTGCTAAGTCCCTTTAGCATCATTAACAAACTTCACAGAGAAAGTAGCATACAAACAGAAGCTGTTTTTTTGCCCATGCCTGTGAATCTCTATTTTTTGAAGAAGGATTAGATGATAAATATAATTCATCAAAAAAGGACTTTAAATTTGCATTCTTTTCTTCCATAACTTTGCGAAACTCATCATATGAATATAAAGTTGGTTTTTTTCCCTATTTTTACGATTATATAAAATATTAGTCATTATTTCTACTGCTTTGGAGAAGGATAAAATAGAAGGTGAGGGTGGTAGAAGTGAAGTTGGAGTTGGAATAGGAGACGGAGGTGAAGCTTCCAAAGCATGTTGTTGGAATGCAAGTGAGCCATTTATTACAATTCTATTATAACAGTTTAAGTAGATTATATCCCCTATTTATACATAACTTGGCAAAGTTTTGTTGGTTTGACCTTTTGCAATAACATACTCAATTACCTTTTTCCATTTTATTAACTTCTGGTTTTGGCATATTGTAATTGCACATGGTCCAGTATTCATACTTGCCTTCTAAGTAAAGTACCTCTAAAATTGGGATTATTTTAGGATTATTTTGCACAGCAAATGTTAATACACCTTTGAAGTTAAGAGAATTTTTTCATATTTTTTATATGTAAAACGTTACATTTTCAAAAAGTACTCTAAACTGTATAAATTCAATTAAATATGATTGACCAATCACGTAAAAGTCATCCTATAACAATTCACTAAAACGGGCAATGATTAGTGTTTCCTGAAAAAATACAATCAGAATAGTGAACTTACATTTTTTTGTGAAGAATACTCATATAAATCCTGTCTCATTCTTAAATATGCATCTCGTATTATTTTTTTGTTATAAACAATATCCACATTACTTGCATCTTTATCATTAAGCTAAGTAGTTATTTAAAGAATATTATAGTAAGTGAACAGAGCTTCAACTTTGAGGGAAAAAAAGAAAAAAGTTGAATTTTAATTACCTTCTGATTAAACTCAGATAATGAAGTTTTATTAGCTAAAGATGAGTTATATTCTGATACTTCAAGCGGATCATTAGGCAATTCTAATATAGGACTATTCTAAGATTCCTTAGTTTTTGAGATTTTAGAATTCTCGTCAGATGAGAGAATTTCAATAAAAAATTTCTGATCGCAGATGTTCACATAAGAAGTAATCTTCATGCTCTTTCTTGTCTAATTTGAAAAATGTATATGAGTTTTTACATCCTTGTAACTATACTAATAATATTTTACCTTTTTACTTGATAATTCAATTCCTTCAATCTCATTTTTTCACTTTTGAGGAGTTTGTAAATTAACACCTTCGGTAATACTTCCTATGTATATGCATATTGAGTAAGCTGTTTTCAGAAAAAAGTGTTAGAATAGGCAAATACAGCCAGATACTTTATAGACATTCTATTTCGATATCTTACTATTTTTCTGAATATGCTGAGGTATCTTAATGAGACAGTTTGAATAGCAGTTTCTTCTTCTTTCGACTTTTTGACTTCATCCCAAAAACTGGTCACATCTAGAATCTTTTTTTCCATTTTAGAAGAGAAGAAGACAAGTATTAGTAATGAGAACAAAAGAATAACTTTGAAGAATACTCATTGCAATAAGTGTAATATATTGTGACTAGCTAAACTTTATCTGAATCAGAAGATCATCACAAGAACAACCAGAAGATGCTCTTGCTGGATAAAGCTCAAACCAGAAGATCATCATAAGAGCAATCAGAAGATACTCTTACTTAGTGAAAACCTTACTGAATATTACTCGAACTAGAAGATCATCACAAGAGCAACCAGAAGATGCATTTACTTGAGTAATTTCAGATGTCACATCAAGAAAAAAAAAATACTTAACCTCAAACGCATCTAAGGCGATCTTTGCATTTTCTCCGAGCTTACAGTCATTCTTGAAATTAAATAGTTTAACTAAGTAGCTATCATGTTCAAGTTGAATATCTTTTGTAAAGGAGGCTTCTCCTTTCGCTAGAGCAGATACTCATAAAGGTAGTTTTTACAGCCACTTCTGAGTATATTTTTAACAACCTGTGCTCTTGCTTTGCATCTATATTTTTTTTGGTAGAAAAAAAAAATAAATAGCCCTGTTCAGTTCTAGATCAGATCGTTCAGATCGAAAAAAAAGTAACCAATCAAATCATAGTTACAATTGAGCACGATTTTTGATTGACCAGATTGATCATTATATTACGACTGGCTAACTTTTACCATGAATCGCAAATAACAAATTCAAAATGTATTATTGTTAAAAACCTTTCTAGATGAGCTTGAAGAAGAGGAACTTGAAGAAGAGGAGGGAACTTCGAGTGAGGAAGAAGAGAGTATTATTTTAAAAGCTACTTTAATACAACAATTAACTACATGATATCTAAAGTCACGAATACATTACGTAGCAAAATTAAAGAATTGGTGATGAAATGTTCTTCCATCCTATGATCCTGTTCGATTTAAAAAACTCTTGCGAATGTTTCACATTATTTTCAACAATTAGCAGATCTTATATGCCATCATCCTGTATTTTTACCACAAGAAAATAAACCTCAAGTTTGTGTTGAATTTCAATTAGCTGTATTCCTTTATCGACTTGGATCTACTGAAAGTTTATTTGAACATTGTTCAAGATTTGGAATAGGAGAAGAGACAGTAATTCTTTATACTAAACGTATTATTCAAGTAATCATATCACAAAAAACTCTTTGTCAAGTGGCCTGTTTTAGAAGATCGTAAAAAAGTTTATGAGAGATTTGAAAATTTGGGAAGACTTAAAAATGTAATTAGAGCAGTTGATGGAATATATATTCCCATAAGAAATACTTCAACTAAGGATCCAGAAGTTTATTTTACTCGAAAAAAACATTATGCTATTCATTATTAAGGTATTGTAAATTATAGGGTATTTTTACTAGCTTTGATGTAGGTTGGCCAAATTCTGTATATGATGCTCGAATTTTTAGAAATTCTTCTTTCTATAAAAATTATCCTAATCTTATCCAAGAAGATAATTACCTTCTAGAAGATTCAGCTTATCTAATTTCACCCTTTTTAATTCCACCTTTTAAAGATCCAGGTACTCAAAAGCAAAAAGAATTTAATCAATTTCATTCAC